TTATAAGAACAGAAGATGATGACGAGGTCAGAACTTAAAAGCAACTGTGCCACTTCTGCAACATCCCTCGGAGGCCGCGTATTTCCACGAAACATGAAAATAAAACGGCATACTCGTTAGTTTGATACAAGCAAAACGCAATTTCCTGATGCGAATAAAATTTAGGTGTTGCTCATGCTTCAAAATCCATGTACAAGGAGATGAAGATGACACAGGCTAGAAATGAAGCACAACGATGTAAATGTAAATAAAACAAAATGAAAAAAAATCAAGGAAAGGCAAATTAGTTAGAATCGCCTGTAAATTTCTACGATCCGGCGCGAATCCGGCGCCAAAGCCATAGAAATACTTAGAACAAACGAGTGGGACGCTTGGGTTGTTTTTATTCTCATGTTTTGTGGAATGCCGCGGCCTCTGACATATGGATAGAAAAATATGATTCTGCAGATGCAGCCGAGTTGCTCTTGAGTTCTGGCCCTCGTCATCATCTTCTGTTCTTATTTTGTAGCACCTCCAATGTTATCCGCATCAGGAAATTGCGTTTACTTGTATTTGAGAGCGCAATTAAGTAGACTTGGCAAAAGTGCAAGGAGCCGCACGGCGACACGGCGACCTTATGACAGGTGGATTATGAAAGACCAGGAATCGGCCGCCGCAAAATGGTGTAAGGCGGAGCATGGAGGAACCAGCTTGTTTCACGGTCCTGTATCTCCATTCTGGGCATGTCTGGGTGGGGGGACCACGATACATCGACAGCTGGGGGGCTGATAGTCTCATACACCCTCAATGTGTTGAGCATACCATGTGTCTTTAAGTTGCCTTGTCCACAAAGCACAGGTATCCATAGTACGAAGTCAGCTACTTTTAACTTCCGTACTTGATTAGGAATTACGACTATCTCCGAAAGTTCGCCCCTTTCCAGAGCTGTGATCACTTTCCCATATATGACTGATCTGTTCTTGATCTCGATCACTTCCGGCTCTTCCGCGTAGAGGCTTCAGGTGGTTGGTGCGTCCTGAAACATTTGGATGGATACGAACATGCGGAACCTTCGCAATGCTGTAACTACAGCAAGCACTTCCAAATCTGTAATGTGATAATTAAGCTCGCTCTTGTTTAGTCCTTTTGACGCGAAGAATATTGGGATGTAGAAAGTTGTCGTCTCCCTTCGACTTAAAACTGCCCTACCCTGAGCAGCATAGGCGTCCTTACAGGGGGGGGGCCAAAAAAAAGTCATTTCGGCCGAGCCACATATCAACGAAGTTTTCGCAGCCCAGACAGGGGAAGTGGATATGAGTACCAGAGTGGAAGATACCCAAGATCTTCCTCTATAAGCTGGAGCACGCTGCCGCCAATCGCCTTCATGTACGCCAAACAATATGAAGTAACGATCTCCAGTCGCGGCCTGACTGGAGAACACCTTTGGAATTCACGTCGCCTCCAAACAGCTGCGAAACTTCTTGAATGAAGTCATCCACAGATAGCTACCTGGAGGTCAGTACTCTTAGACCTGCAAGACCTCCCACATCGACCAGCTACGGCAACGTCGCTACGGTCTAGGACATCATCTTCACCGTATTCGCCGAGGCGCGAGTTGATGGTATGGACCGGGGTACCTGGAAAGGGGAAGACCGATATTTTCTTTGTAGACCCCGACTGAAGGTGAGCGCTGGCGGTTACATCAAGTAACTCGAGAAGATATCCTCCCTACATGTGGTCGCCCGTACCTTCTTGGAGACCTTGTGCTGCTACAGGTTTGGGTGCCACCACATGGAATCGAAGGGTTTTGGAAAAACTCCCGCCTACTTCGAATGGAAGGGCGTTTCGTACCTGATGAAGATGTAATATTGAAATATGTCCCCTGACCTGAATCCACTCAGTTACCTAGTCCGGGCCGAGTTCAGAGCCGGGCTGGTTCTACGGTTGGCGGAGACAATCAACGATCTCGCTCACACTCCGGCTGCCATCTCACTTTCGCCGCGGCTGAATTCTCAGATTTGGCGTCCTCCGAGAAGGCTGCGGTCGCGTAGCATCATTATAGTATTTGATGTGCTCTTTAATATGGTAGTAAAAATGTCCGATAAAAATTTAATAAAGTGTAACTTATAGCGCGTTGAAAGTCATGCGTGAGCAAAATGGACTTTTTTTTCTGGCTCCCCCCCTGATATGCAAAACGGTTTTGCTCCTGAACGCGCACCTTCAGTGTCTGGTTGCGCCAAAACAGGTGTGGGCGTCAGAGCGTCCTTGAGCGTTTTAAAAGCGTCGATACGCAGCTCGTCCACTCGAACCTCTTTCCTTCTGAAGTTATCTCATGGAGTGAAGCCGCGTTTTTGAAAAACCGCAGTATAAACTTCCGGTAGTACGAGCACACACCTAAGAACGTCCTCAGTTCTGAGCGTGTCTGCGGGTCGGTAACTCTGTATTGCCTAAATTCTCTTGGGACGGCTGTCACGTCAACCATCTTTATCGGAAACATGAGACAAGGAACGCCAACTTAGGCTGCCATGAGTATGCTTTTAAATTGATGAGCTTCAGATGTTGCTGCTCGTAGTTGATCGAACACTTTCTCAAGGGAGCTTCCGAGGCACTGACGCTTCCCCTCGCTATTGTTAGCTACATATAACTATCGCATCCAGATAGCATCGAACACTTCATCTCTTTGTAGCGGACGGGAAGCGCCTGTGAGCCTTCTGTAAAGCTTGCTGGCGATGACGCCAGTCCGCAGAAGGTAGGTCATCGGCTCTCACCCCCCAAGCCACCCAACCCCCCACCCCACCCAACCCCCCAACCCCAATACGCCCCACCAACAACAACCCAAAATCGGTATAAGATCGATCTAATGTGTGTGAGCGTACTATGTGTCTTTAAGAAGGGTAGTTCCACAAGCTTTCAGGAAGGTGTTCAACGATGCTCATTCGGCACTTAGAGCTGGCCATTTTGGATCAAAGAAAGTGCTCCGCGAACTGAGCAGACGAGTTTTCTGGGAGAATATGGCTCGTGACGTGCGACTTTGGACGGAAGAGTGCAAGAAATGCACGTTGTTCAATGCACGACAAGAGATGACGCCTCCGCTAAAACCCGTGGTATCAACAGAACCGTTTGAAATGATCGGCATTGATATCCTGGAAATGGGACCAACATCTAATGGAAATAAGTATATCTTGTCCGTTATTGATCGTTTCACTAAATTTGGAGGAGCTGCCCCATCGCGACGAAATCCGCGGAAACGGTAGCGCGCACGCTATTCGAACGCTGGATGGCGGACGGTTGTCGCATTCCCAAGTGCATCCTTTCGGATCAGGGAGGGGAATTTGACAACAAGCTTATGTCCGAGCTTGCCTCCATATTAGGTATTCGCCAGGCTTTCACAAAAGGCTTACTTCGAGAAAACGGAATAACGGAAAGATTCAATAGAACCATCATTGGGTTACCGAGGGAGAAAGTGGAAATTCCACATGAATGGGACAGAATGCTCCCTTTCTGCACTAGTGCCTATAATACAACGGCGCATGAGGCCACTGACCATTCTCATGCATGGATTTGATGCAAACATGCCATGTGACTCCATGCCAGAACGAGCAAACTCCATACATGGTAAACATGGACTATTACATCCATGAGCTAGTCAGTGGAC